CTTTGCAGATTATTTTTTCTGCACTCCACGTGTTTAATCTGTGCGCGCTCTGGCGGGCTGACAATCATCCCGTTTCTGCTTTACTTTTTTATTTTATTTTATTTGGAAAGACAGTCTGACTGTCAGCCTTTCCCACAGCGCTTCCCCGCTGTACAAGGAGAGAGTAAAGGCTGAGTTATAGTCGCGCTTTGGAACGTGCGCAAAGTCGGTGTGGAGTGCGCGCGCATTCGGCCATGCTGCGTCGCTCTATGACCGCAGGAGAAACGAGGTCCAGACTCAGCGAGCTTTTGTGCGTCCTGGAGCACTACTTCACCTGCACTGACTGTCGCCTCGCTGCGTCACCATGTGCCGCGGCATGCGCTCCTCCCGCAGCAGGCAGTGTGGTCAGCTGGCATCTGACCGGAGGACGCGCCGTCATGTAAACAGTTCAGCGTTCATTTTCACACACCCGAACCAGGTCCGGATACGTTTTTTTTCCCCCCTCTTCATTTGCGCTCTCAGCCATGCTGCTTCCTGCTTCCTATTTTGACTCCAGCTGGTTACTTCATCAAAAAGAATTGCGCGGTTGGCCGGTAGACTACGGATCTCTATCATAGGACAAATTTATATAGTTTCTGCCGTATATCGTTTATATCGCGCATTCCTAGTGCCTGAGAAACTGCATTACTCTGTAGAAGCTTGATTTCCTTTTGACATTAAAGTAAGTTATTTTTCTGTGTGAAAAAGGCCTATTTTTATTGTTCATGACTGATTCATGACAGCAATAAAAGCATAAAACATCCAAAGGGGTTAATACATGTTATAGGCACTATATATTCCAGGGGAAGCTTTGTGAAGTAGCCAGGTATCAGGAAAGTAGCCGACATAAAAAACTACTGTCAAATACTGACGAGATGAATGAGGCCACATGCAGGCAGAGCGATTTGTTGAATTGGACCTGAATGACCCACAGATACTCACACTGGCAGCTGCCCCCGTTGGTTGGATCTCCATAGTAGCCGGAGATGCAGCTCTCGCAGTGTCCGCCAGTTGTCAGGTCCTCGCACTTCTCACACACACTCTCATTGACACACTGACTGTGGCCATTACACTGACAAGCTGCCAACAAAAACAAAACAAAARACTGAGCACATACTGCATGAACATCACAAACACCCTGAGGAGAAAGGAAAAATAAGTTCTACAATAAACAGCCTCAGGGCCAAACAAGAATGAATCTATTTTTTTTTCTTTACAAATGCAGAAAACAATGTCCAGTTGGGTGCCTGTACAAATACAGCACTAGTGATGTAAATCTAACGTAACACATCATCCTAAACATTTAACCTGGTATTGACCTGCCAGTGTCTAGTTTAGATTACAAAGCAAATGTGCAAGAACAATTTAAGAAAGGTCTTTTTTTTGTAAGAAATTCTATTTTTCTTACAGCAGCAGTTTATACATGAAATTCAATACTTGTCAAGAAAAGTACGATGGGGATGTGTTAACACTAATTTTACTCTGCCTTCAGAAATAAAAATGAAAACTGATTTATTTATTTTTTTATGTTTGACAGAAAAATTATGTTGGTCAATCTATGACATCTTAAGCTCTTTTCTGGAAGTRAAAATACCCAATCACACAACTTTAAATGAAGTGTAAGTTTTGACATAAACTTTCTCCATGTGCTTTAAAAAAAAGTTTGAGGAAACTGTTTTACAACGAACAGAGAAAAATATGCAAAGCAGAGACAGAAGTGTGGATGAGGATCAAAGAGCAAAAAGAACTCTTTTTTTTCTTCTTTTTWAAAAAAAATAAGAGCAGAAAGAACTTCACAAAAGTCAACTTAATGTAACTCTGATCTACAGTACCTGGGCAGTGAATAAAGGACCAATTGTATTTGGCCTGGCTGGGACACATGCTGGAGTTGAGAGCAGGCTGGGAACTGGCAGGAAGACCGGGCAGGGTGGACGGAGCAGGGACCGAGGTCTGAAAGGGTCCTCGGTAGGAACCCTCAATGCACTGGCCTTTGCCTGTGTTACTGGGGTCRGTGCACCAACCGCAGCCCGGCTGGTCCAAGCACTGTCCACAGGTTCTGTAGCCAGAACAGTTTTCAGCTGCACCGAAGCACAACAAAGCACCAGTTACACCAGTTAGAAACATTTTATTTAACATCTGAAGTCCTGCACTGTCTCCAAGTAGAGTCAAATAAAAAGAAATTGGTATTCTGATTTCTGTATCAACAAAAATAACACGTTAAACGTCACCAAAACATGTTTAATTTTCTATTAACACAGTTACTAAGGGATGACCCATCATATCGAAATGAGGATTAAGTCAAATGTGATCAAAATGATCTAACTACATTTTTAGATTCCTGGCTTTAAAAGCTCATTTTGATACCTGGATCATTCTGATATCATAAGCTTTTCCAAAAATGTGATTTATTTTGTCTTGTTTGTTATGATAACACATTATAGTTTGGTCTGAATCCTATTTTCATGTAAAATTATTGAGTAATTTTTGATGTTAATATAGAGGAAACCTCAAATAGTATTTGTATATTAAGATTTCCTAGTTGGAAAGAAACAAAAACATTGCTAGCTCACAGGGAAAAATTCTAAATTTTGAGGCGTTTTTCCTCAAAATCAGTTTTTTTGTTGCTACTGCTAAAAAAATGCTTCAAAAAAATTTTTTTGGATTATATTTCACAGTTCTTTCAAATGATACATTGATAAGGCATTTATTCATTATATTTTGACAAAAAGCAACTTTTGCACACGTTTAAATCAAAACCCTATTTCTCCACGTTCCACTTTTGGACTTTATCCTCATTTTGATGCGATGGGTCACATATTTTAATTTCAGCTGAACTTGATTTTTTTAGTGTATGTGCCAGTTAAACAAAATCTGTACATCCAGATAAAAACAACTGTAACAGAATAAGAGTGTCTTACGTGGACAGTTGCTCATGGTGTACCACTCCATGCACTGCCCAAAAGGGAACGAGGCCACATAGGCATTGGAGTCAACACACTGCTTCATGTTGCTGCACCACATGCACTCTGAGCTGCTGCTGGTGCACTCGCTGCAGGTGGTCCGCATGGCGCATGGAGTCCGGCACTGCTTGGCACTGTGGTTGGCTGACATACGCACACACCTGGTTAGCAACACACATCTTTTCTGCCCACTGATATACCCGTCTGAAACAAAAGCATTCTGAAAGCTCACCGGGCCGCTCACACAGGCTGCCGTTCACCGGGTTGATGCAGGTTTGTGCTTTCAGCCCACTGGACGCCGGCTCTGCCAAGTAGCCGCAGAATCCAGCGTCGCTCGGCTCGCCTGGCAGCCACTGCAGGGTGGTGTTAGTGAAGGGAGACATGTCCTCCCAGCACCAGTACGACACGTTGATTTTCCTCAGCCCCACCCAGGGCGTCACCATGGTCTTGTACTGTTTATCAAAAAGCAAAAAAACTTTTTAAGGATGTTCTACTGTAGTTCAACATTTTTTCTGCAAATCTATTTCAACAATCCTGATAAAAAATAAATGTGTTACTTTAGGTACAGACAGTCCGCCTTGCACTTGAAACAAATACAGTRTCACTTGCACACCAGCTCATTGCAGTACTTATTAAAAATAAACACAATTGRACCAATTTTTTGTTTTATTTCAAATAAATTTTTACCCTGGTTGTAAGCAAAGAAAAGACCAACGCAGAAGCATTGTTTCACCCTGTCATTGTATCAGCAATAAAGGTCAATTTATTTTACTGAACCCAAAGGGGCTTTAGCAGTTACAGTTTGTTGCAGTGTCAAAAACAGCTCAGTCTCCTAAAGACAGACAACTACTACTGCACTTAATTTAATTTATTGGTCTTRTTGATCCCATCAGAAAACCCTTGAAATGGGGCAAAATGTCAACATAACTTCTAGTTTTTTCTTTGTGCCAGCAAGGAGCTAAACTCAGCTTTTTTATAATTAAAAAATGTTTGTGATATGAACACGGGTAAAAGTAAAAAAAAGATCTTTTGGCTGATTTTTTTTCTACTCCCGCCTCTCATCGTTGATTTCATATGGGGCAAACAAATACTTGTCTTACAGTTAATATTGTTTAATTAGAAGAAGAGAAACAGTGAATCTGAGAGAATTTGTTTTTAAATTTAATTTTAACAACTTAGCTGATGAAATTTGTGCTGCAATTACGTTAAACACAATGCAACTACAAGTACAGATAATGGAGCTAAACCCAAATTATTGTTTGTTTTTTTTGTTTGTTTTTTTATGTGTAACATATTAACTGTGAAGTTATTTATCCAGTGAAAAGACTTGTGAATACATGTCCTAACACATTTGAAGTCTAATATGAAACCGCTTATTATGGTAACGAGGTAGCGTTTGGTCACGCAAACGTCAAGCGAAGGTTAGACCGTCTCATTTCACAGCAGTTTTATGTAGCCTACCCAGACTGGGAAGGACGCGGCCCAGCTGGGCTACATGCTCATGAGGATCCAGTCCATAAATTGAGAAACAGCGGCTGTGTCCAAAATGACAGGCCGGGTCCTCCGGAGGACCC